TATTATTTCATGGATTTAGATCAAATCATGCTTCCCCAAGCCTATATAATACAGGCCAGGCTAGGTTGTAAGGAACATGATTAATCATTCAATAAATACAAAGCAGCTACGATGTGCCAGGCACTAGGGCAAGCACTAGAAATATATCCGTGTGCAAGAATATCTAGGTCCCTGCCTTCATGAGGCTTACATTCTAGTGGGAACACAGACAATGAGCTATAGATATGTAATAACCATATGTTCTGTTTATGATGGTACTATGACATAAACAGAGTACTCTGATAAAAACCTGTGTGTGTCTGTTGGAGGGTCATATACTTCAGACAGATCAGGCAAGACCTGTTTGAGATGTGGACATTCAAGCTAAGACCTGAAGGACGAGAAAGAGTGAGCCATGTGAAAAGCAGTGTTAAGAGGAGAAAGGAAGTGAAAAGGCCCCGAGGTGGGAAAAGCTTGAGGTGCACTAGCCCGTGTGATGAGCAAGGGGTGAAGTGACTTGAGATACAGCTGGAGACAGAAACAAAGGCCAGGTCTTGCAGGGCTGTATATCGGTAGGGTAAAAAGTTTTATTTTCTGGGCAATGGGATACTACTGAAAGGTTTTAAGCAAAAAAAAAGGGGGGGAGGGGTCGTTTGGAAAAGTCACTTTGGGTTTAAGGTGAATAATGGATTCAGACAGGGGTGGAGAGGCAGGGTGTTAGCTTGTTTGCGCTGCTGTCAAAGCAGTCTGACCACAGACTGGGTGGCTTATAAAAACAGAAAATGTATTCCTCGCAGTTCTGGCAGCTGTAAAGTCTAAGATCAGGGTGCTAGTGTGGTCGCCTTATGGTGAGGACCCTCTTCCTGGTTCCTGGCCAGTTCCTTCCTGCTGTGCCTTTTCACGGTGGAAGGGGCTAGTGAGCTCTTTGGAGCCTCTTCTCTAAGAGCACTCATCTCATTCATGAGGCCTCCACCTTCAAGATTAAAGCACCACCCAAAGGCTCACCTCCCATTCCCATCACCTTTGGGGGTTCGGATTTCAGCATAGGAATTCGGGAGGGACACAAACATTCCAACCCCACCAGATACCAAGAGTGAAGACGGGGAGAGCAGTGAGAGGTGTTGCAAACCCAGGTGAGAGATGACAGTTGCTTGCACTGGAGGATTGACAGTGAAAACAGAGAGCAGTTGATGGATTATAGATATATTATGGTTGTAGAACTCAGGAATCTCAATAATCCAGGAGTCGACTGACTACTTAGCCCAGGATTTCCTGAACCTTGGTAGCTAGCTAACATTATCATCTAGGGAGCTACCAAAAACAGACTGTTGAGTCCCAGCCCTAAAGCTTAGGATTCAGTAGTCTGGGGTAAAATCCAGAAGTCTGAACTTTCCATGAACCCTTGAGAGATTCTGGCATGAGGCCAGACTTGAAAAAAACACAGATCTGTGCTCTTATTCCAGGTGACCTTTATTCCCAAACCCTGGTTTGGGCTGTCTCCTCACATGGCCCAGCCAGCACGCGTTAAGAGTGTGTACTCATCTCAAAGCAGGAACGACTCTTTAAGAAGCAGCAGTGAGCATCCCAGATTTTGGCTTCCTGACAGGCAGGTTCAAGCCCCGTAGCCAATCTAACCTTCAGCAGCGGGAGAGCTTGGGGAAATGAGCTCAGCTGTTGAAAGGACTCTCTAACCTTGTTTGGGATATTTAACTTCGTTGAGAAAGGTTTCTAAAAATGTGTGGTTTTTATCTTCTTGTGAAAGGCAGAATAGTAGTCATATGCGTAGGCATAGTTGGGGTCCTTCTGAGCTTCACAGGGTCTTCATTACTGTAGTCTGGGAGGGGGGCGGGCTTTGCTGCCCCTCATTCCCTAAGATCTTCTATAGTTTCCCACCCTCAGCAAGCCGCCAAAAATAAATACATAGACCACATAAAACAGTTTATGCCTACCAAAGGAAAAAGAGTTTCCTAACCATCCCCCCCTTTTGCTGCCCTCTTTTATGGAATCTCTTTTATGAAAATTCTGGAACGATCACTGGCTCCAGGAAGGATTTGCCAATCCCATTTCCCTTCCATATATACTAGTGTAAAGATTAAAATTCTACTAGTTTTTTTTTTTTTTTTCTGTTTCAGGCTAGGATGAAGCAATAGGGACTAGATGTACCCTCTCACCTGAAAAAAACAAAACCTGGGAAAACATATAAAAAAAAAAACCCAAAACAGCTTTTAAGACACTGGACATCAGGCAATGTAAGCTGGTCATCTCAGAGAGGTGGGAAACAAACAAGGGGAGACCTAGCAACTGCCCCAGCTTACTGCCTTGAAAAAGTTTCCAGGTCATAGTGCAGGGAGGGAGGGAAAGATGTTAATAATGGTGAAGCTTTCATGGGTGTACACATAGGACAAAATGTATCCAACTGTACACTTATTGCAGTTTACTGTGTGTCAGTTTCACTTCAACAGAACAAAATTCTACTGAGAGCTTCTTTCCTTGAGCTTCTGGCTTGGATGCCTATTAAAATGGAAATCCCACTGAAGCGGGAACCATTTCAAATTCCTATGATTACATTATCACACTGTGGTGTCCCTAAAAACCCAAGCACAGACTTTCATAGGGAGAGCAAGGATACTACTAGGAAAGGTGAGAGAGAGGATTGCAGAGAGAAGGGAGAAAGGGCATGGGCCGGGGAAATGCAAAGAAACTTGTGTTGACCGATGGAATTAGCAGGGATGGTTCCCGTGGAAATGTGTGCTGGTGGGTTTTTTCGTTGCCACAATAAACGAGGAGCGTCACAGGCAGGTAGTGGACACAGGCATGTAGTGGACAAGAGCCAGGGACGCTCAGGTCCCACAAAGGGCAGGAGTTCTGCATGACAACAAGTGGTCCCACACACAATGCCAATAGCACCCTATTGAGAAACCCTGGCTGAGGGAATTCAGCGGTGCAGGCTGATGGTCCCTCCTCCAATCCCAGCATTACAAAGGGGTCTCAGAGTGCTTTCTGAGCTACGGTTTGCACTGCAAACCAGAACACCTACTGCTCAATCCTGTTTTAGTCAGTTAAGTTTTCCTGATGTTACAGCTTCAAGCATAATCAGAAACTCCAAAGCCTTGAGAACACTGACAGGAACACAGAGATCATTTTTTTTTCAATTTTTTAGGTTTTTTTAAACTTTTTTTTATTAAAAGATTTTATTTATTTGAGAGAAAGAAAAAGAGAGACAGCGAGAGAGGGAACACAAGCAGGGGGAGTGGGAGAGGGAGAAGCAGGCTTCCCGCTGAGCAGGGAGCCCGATGCGGGGCTTGATCCCAGGACCCCGGGACCATGGCCTGAGCCAAAGGCAGACGCTTAACGACTGAGCCACCCAGGCGCCCCAGGTTTTTTTAAACTTTTTAAAAAGATTTTATTTGGGGTGCCTGGGTGGCTCAGTCGGTTAAGCGTCTGCCTTCGGCTCAGGGTCATGATTCCAGGGTCTCGGGATCAAGCCCCGCATCGGGCTCCCTGCTAGGCGGGGAGCCTGCTTCTCCCTCTGCCTCTGCTGCTCCCCCTGCTTGTTCTCTCTCTCTCTTTGTCTTGCAAAAATAAATAAAATCTTTAAAAAAAATAAAAAATAAATAAAAAGATTTTATTTGACAGAGAGAGAGAGAGCGCCCACAAGCCTCTCTCTGGGGCTTGAATTCATGACCCCAAGATCAAGAGTTGCGTGTTCTACTGACTGAGCCAGCCAGGAACCCCAGGAAACTCCTTTTTATTACACCCAGACTTCTCTCCTGCCTACCAGACTGAAATGTTAACTGCTAGATGAACCCTACCAGCTGAGGCCTACTAGGACCTCAAGCTTAACCTGTCTAAACCAGCCCTGGGTTTGCATCCCTCTGCCATCCTTATTTCTCTGAAAGGCATCACCTTGCAGTAACCCCAGCTTGAAACCACAGTGGTTTTTCTCCCATCTCTCTCCTGTTCCATTGCCAGTCTTACAGATTTTGCTTCTGAAATATCTCTTCCATCCATCCCTTTTTCTTTATTCCGTTTACCACTAGACCAATTCAGATTCTCATTACTTCCCACCAATCTGTGGTTTCTCCTTGCTTCCATCCATCTGAAGCACAACTGATTATTTATCAAGTTTCCTCACAACCTACAAAATGACATATAAAGTCTTTACCTGGACTTTTAAGACTCTCCCAAGTATGGGCCCAGTTTTACTTTCTAACCTGATACCTGGTATTGTTCTATTTTTATTTATTTTATTTTATTTTAATTTATTTTATTTTTATGTAAGCTCAATGCCCAACATGGGCTTGGACTCACAACCCTGAAATCCAGAGTTGCATGCTTTACAGATTGAGCCAGCCAGGCGCCCCCCTGTTCTATTTTTAAATCGCCGCAGACTGCTTCCCTTTCCTAATACACGTTCCATTTTTTCCCTGCCTCATAGTTTTTATTATCCCTTCCAGCTGCAATATCTCCATCTCCATCTATGCTATTTTTTCATCAGCTGTCACTCTGACATCTTGACTTCCCCCCAAAACTGAATATGACCTTTCCCCTCTTTAAATCTCTTTGGCAATTTGCTCAAACTCACTGATGACACTTAGCATGTGTACTCTGTATTATCTATGTTTGTGTAAATGTCACATACTCTAGTTAGAATCAGCTTCTCAAGGACAGGAACTATGCCTTACTCATCTTTCTGTTTTTTACAGGCCTAACATAGTGCCCTACACGGAACAAGAGCTCAATAAATGTTTTTTTAATTTAACTTTAGTCAATTATTTATTTATATTATGAAATCTATATCTTCCATTGATATGAGAAATATTATACTTTACTATTTAAACTAACTGGATTTGAATTTAGAAGATAGTTCTCCCAAAATATCTTCTTCATTATAATACATAGGAAATAAACAAAACTCAGTCCAAAGCCATTAGTAGAGAAAAAGCATTAAAATAAGCAAAATGAAGTATAAAATAAGTTTTGGTCAGCAAGTTAAAAACATACTCCAAACAAAATCTCACCTGAGAGAGGATTCATTCAAATTTATGGGTTCTTTGCCTCTCCAAAACACAGAGCCATTAATCACTTCTTTGACTTAAAAAAAGAAAAAGAAAAAGAAAAGAAGTCATTTGCTAGTTCATTACATAATTTGAGATTGTGAAGAAATTATAGTTACATGTACTGATTTGATGACTGTTCATAAATCCCCAAAAAACTTGCAAATCCTGGGGCATCTGGGTCGCTCAGCTGATTAAGCATCAAACTCTTGATTTCAGCTCAGGTCATGATCTCAGGGTGGTAAGATCAAGCCCCCATCAGGTCTGCACTGGGTATGGAGACTGCTTAAGATTCTCTCTCTCCCCCATGGGTGGCTCAGTCGTTAAGCGTCTGCCTTCGGCTCAGTTCATGGTCCCAGGGTCCTGGGATCGAGCCCCACATCAGGCTCTCTGCTTGGCGGGAAGTCTGCTTCTCCCTCTCCCACTCCCCCTGCTTGTGTTCCCTCTCTCGCTGTGTCTCTGTCAAATAAAGAAATAAAATCTTAAAAAAAAAAATTCTCTCCCTCTCCCTTTGCCCCTCTTCCACCTCCCTCGAAAAAACAAAACAAAACAAAAAAAAAACTTGCAAGTCCCAAATTATAAACTGGGCAGCATGATGTAACAAAAGGAACTTTAGCTTTGATGTTAAAACATGTGCTTAACTTCAGACTCGTAAAAAGTTACTTTGTAAGAGTTTACCAGTTGCTTTATCACTCTGGACTCAGTATCTTAATTTATAAAAATGATGAAAATTCTGTGAATGAAAATAAGATAATGTGTTTAAAAAGGACTCATGTGGTGCCTGGCAGAGTAGTTATACAATATACATTAGTTTAATTTAAAGTAAAAACCAAAGAGCCAGTCATAACATCAAGAACACTGTCATGTCCTCCCAATTATATGTGTATTTTATTTATTTGGAGGGACAAATAATAATAGTATCTAATAAGTATTCTGAACAAGAACCAAATTTACATTTCCCTAAGCTACTGCAAGAGGTCAGTACCATCCTCACATTCTAAGCTCCAGTGGAAACTCAGTGTTCCTTGTCCAACCACCTCCCCATCCCTGCAGAAGGGTTGGAGTCAGGGATGCACAAGCCAAACCGAGAGCCAGGGAGGGAAAGAAAGAAAGCCCTGCTCCCACAGAGAATTCCTTCTGGGGATTTCCTTGGCTCTGTCAGCCTCTTCCTTTCTTGACTTGCTTGCTTCCCTTTCCTTCTCCCACTCTTTTAATTTTTTCAGTTTATTTTTCTTCCTAGGTAAAATTTACGCAAAATGAAATCAAAATCTTAAGTGTGCTTTTGCTGTGTTTGACCCCTTTCCCTTTGAACTGCTCTGCAAAATCCTCTTTCACTCCTGTGGGTCTGAGAGGAGCCCAAATCACCTCCATGCTTAGAAGAAAGAACCCTTTTACCTCAGAGAGCCAAAGGTGATGCTGGAGGGGGTCTATAAAAAGATAGCTGGAGGCTGCAGGCTGTTCTGGCTGGCCCTGGTCTAGACGGAAGAGGTCGACACAGCCCCCTTGAAGTCCAGCATAGTTCATCAGATTTGGAGATCACCTGGGGATTTGAGGCCAAAAGCCTGATAAGTGGGAAACTGAGGGGTGCTTGGCTAGCTCAGTGGGTGGAGCATATGACTTTGATCTCAGGAGCATGAGTTTGAGCCCCACGTTGGGTGTAGAGATTACTTAAAAATAAAATCCTAAAAAAAAAGGGGGGGGGGGGAACCGCAGCTGCAGGAGGTGACTCCTGGTAGGACAGAGCTGTAGTGGCCATCTGTCCTTTTGTCTTCCCAGCACCTTCCCTTTTTTGAGGAAATGACCTCTTCTACAGTATGGGTGCCCCATCTTTACAAACAAACAAACAAAAAGACTGCTCTTTCCAATGAAATTAATGATGAATCAACTCTAGTGCCCCTCACTTGCATGAGTTCCTTCCAAAGTCTTAGGAGAGGTCTTAACAGTGTGTGCGCATGCTCAAATGTTTTTATCAAATACGTAAAGGGAAGACATTTCAGCCACAATCATTCAAGACCACAGGCTCTTCCCACTTCAGTTTTCCTTCTGTCTCACTTCCTCTCTTGGGAGTATCCAAAGACACTTTATGTTTGTGATTTCTTCTGCCTGTATTTTCTTGGGAGTGCTGCCTTCATTATGATGTGGGAAACAAAGGCAAAAGCAAAAATTAAATTTCCTTACTAGTTACAGCCCATTGACAAGTCCTTGAAACAAGTTGAGTGACATTCCTCTAGGGACTCAGCTGCCTCGATGTTGATACTTTGCTAGGGGCAAAGGGCAATCTTAGCCCGACCCCCCCCAGCCACCCCTCCACCCCCCCACCGCCAGGATCCTGTAAGTCTTCTTTAACATACAAAAATTCCTTTGGAGGGGCGCCTGGGTGGCTCAGTCGTGTTAAGCATCTGCCTTCAGCTCAGGCCATGATCCCAGGGTCCTGGGATGGAGCCCTGCATCGGGCTCCGTGCTCAGCAGGAAGCCTGCTTCTCCTTCTCCCATTCTCCCTGCTTGTGTTCCCTCTCTCGCTGTCTCTATCTGTCAAAAAAATAAATTAAAAAAAAATCTTAAAAAAAAATTCCTTTGGAAACTTCCTTTATCTCTACCCTCCAAGATATATGTCAGCAGTCATCCTCCAAGCATATGGCCCACTGATACGCATCTGAAGGGTCTCATGACTAAGGTTTGACTAGACAGAAATAAATGAGCTTTTCTCAACAATAGCTAGCCCCCTCAAGTTCCTGGAAACCTTGTTTCCGTAATTCCTTAGAGAATTACGCTATCCCTAACCCCCTCCCAACTTGAAAGTATATAATCAGTCACCCATCATAACCCCAGTGCAGTTCTTTCTGCCCACCGGTCCTGTCTCCATGCTTTAATAAAACCAGCTTTTTGCACTGAAGATGTTTCAAGAATTCTTTCTTGACCATTTGCTCTGAACCCCAGCATTTCCGTATCAATTGTATTTGGTGTCTTGACTCCTTATCTTAAAGAAGGCTCTGCAAATAGTATGAGTTTTTGGTCCCCACAAAATCTGGATCCACCCCTATCCTAGCCGTAGCTGATGGGGTGGGCTCTGATCCAAGTTGGGCTTGGACATCTGGACATGAGAGGCAGAGCTGGATAGTCTTTGAAACTGGCCATATGGAGAAGAAGGTCCCTCACAGGCTGTTCAGGCCCAGGAACAGGCCCAAGGGTTTCTGGTCTTCCATTAGTGGATTTCTTCTGTTCCCCTCTTGACTCCCTAAGAGATTCCAAAATCCTTCAATAAATCTCTTCAGCATTAGGTTAGGCAGAATGAGTTTTTTCTACTTGCAAGTGAATAACCTCTACTCATTACGTAAGTTTAAGACCCCAGTCATCATAGACCCTTCTAATAATAGGCATTTCACACATGTGGGTACTAAATGTGATACCAATAATGCCTTTGATCGTTGCTGGAATTAAGTAGAACGTATTAGCACTGGTGGCACAGAGGTCAGGAGGTCTGAGCCTCTTGCCTCAGGACCACACATTACAGATGTCTGGGAGGTGAACCACAGGGTCCTGGGGATACAGCCACACCTCAGTCAGGGAACAAGCATTTTGGAGGAGAGCTGGAAAGGAATGGAGCACGGCACTGCAGGCATGCTGGAAGGGGGTAAGAAATCTCTGAGTCTTTTCTTTTTCTTTAAGATTTTATTTATTGATTTGACGGAGAGAGACACAGCAAGAGAGAGGGAACACAAGCAGGGGGAGTGGGAGAGGGAAAAACAGGCTTCCCGCGGAGCAGGGAGCCCGATGCGGGGCTCGATCCCAGAACCCTGGGACCATGACCTGAGACGCTTAACGATTGAGCCACCCAGGTGCCCCCGCTGAGTCTTTTCTATTAGGAAGCTGGTATTACCTAAACAATCAACCTAAGCTGTCCCTTAAACCTGATTTCATGCAAGTTCACTAACCTGCCTTGAACTTTCTGTTTTTTGTGTGAGGTCATTAAAAGGTTATGACAAAAAACAACTTTAGGTTCAATGTCCCTGCCCTCTCTATGTTAGCTTTAAATTTCATTTGTAACAACGGTGTGGAGAATCTTAGGATCATCTGTGCTGTCCACTGAGAAATGAAGTACAGCTTGATCTCTGTTTCTACGTCAGATGGAAGGGCTGGTCTCGATGCCAGTGGTCAGAGTCTGGCAGGTGTAAGACCATACTGACAAGAGAGCCTAAATACAGATAACAGGTGACAGAGTTTTCTGCTAATATGTTCTCTAGTGTGCACACAGCAGTTCAGAGCCTTCTTCAGTAGCTTAGATATGAAGTCTTTCCATCATTTAGCGCAATGGATGCCTGATGATATGTTCAGGAGTGCTGGTCAGCTGAGGAACATTTTTAGAAAGGACACTACCAAAAAAATGCAGTGCTTTCTTAACTGCAAGAGGTCCGATTATATTTGTCAAAACCATATTCCTATGGGGAAGACTGCCAAGCCTAAGTAAAAATTATCCACTAAACCTGAAAGACTCATCAGTCCCTTGTTTTAGTTTTCTCCTACCTCAGTGATTTTAGGAAATATATAGGTTTTAGGTATAAAATAAAATCTTATATTTATATAAAGCCTGGCTCAGTTTATGTGTCATCAAATTATGAGGTTTCATTCTGGTTTGAGGATTAGTCTACTTCATGTTATGCCAGTGTTTCAGAAGATACCACTAAAGTCATTAAAGTCTTTTCCATGCATCTAGAGCTGCAGTGACTGATTCTATAGCTACTAGGCACCCGTGGCTATTAAAATTAACATTAAATTAAAATTCAGTTAGTAGCACTAGTCACATCTCAACTGCTCAGTGGTCACGGGTGGCTGTTGGCTACTGTATTAGACATAATTAGACTACATACAAAACAGCTCCATCATTGTAGAAAGTTCTGCTGGATAGTGCTGTTCAAGAATGAACTTGAAAGTAAGGGGCTAATAACTCAATTCATTCTAGAGCTTTAGTGGATAATATAGTTCACCACTGTTGCTCTTCTCCTGTCAGCATTGTTCATTTAGAGTTTAATAACCATCCCCTTTCATCTAAACATAAAAAGTACAATTTAAAGTGCTACCTCTGACCCATATAAGGACACATGTATACTCTAGAGAAAAGCCCCTTTCCTATATATCTCCAGAAAAGTAGGGCTTAATTAGTAAGCCTGTTGAAAATGTGATGATGAAACTAAGTATTTTTACTGCAAATGATTCGCACTTTTGAGCTTCCTTTGTTAAGATAATCCAGTTGGTTTGAGTGTGAGCTTCTTTGCCACATGATACAAATATTCCCTAGGCTTTCACCCAAGAGGTTTGGAGTAAGTTCTAATAATTATCTTTATTTAAATGCTGAGCAGTTAATGTGTGCTACTTCTGTAGGCATGATATCATCAGTATTAACATTAAAGCCTCTAGTAATGACTGTTGTCAAGTAGATGGTCAGACAGGTTTGAGCCTCTCTCTTGCTTCAGGTCTGCATATTACAGACTGTCTAGGAGGTGAACCCACATGGTCCCAGGTATACGGCAACACCTAACTCAGGGAACTAGCAGCTTGGTGGAGAACAGGAGTCAGAGCATAGGACTGTTGGCATTCTAGAAAGGGGGAATTTTTTAATTCTCTAATGTGTGCTATGTATGACAGTGGCAGTTTTGGGTTTTCACAACTCCCTGCACAAAAGTGTCGGATGGAACCTTCAGAGATGAACGCGAAGAAGGGGGAGTGGGGGAGAGGTACAATTCTATGAATAGCCATGTATGTGAACACAAGATAAGTTCTTTTAAGTCTTCACTGCTTTTAACATCATTTGCAAAGTTTCTAGGATTTAAATTTCATAAAACTTCTGCCTGTAATTAGCTTCTTTAACGTGTGTTTTTATCTTCTTATACATGTTGGGAGGAAAAAAAAAAAGCCAAGAATAATTATGCTTGTGGACAAGGATAAATATGCATTTAAGGCAACCAAAGCCAGTTAGGTACCCTAATTAGGGTGACAAGAGACCTGGTGAGCAACCAGGAATTTAATAAGTCTAATTACAACTTCTACAAACAGTTGCCATGCCATAGAGCGTCAGTGTGGAAAGGTGCTTGTCTCTGAGAGTGTACAAACACAGGATAGTTTTCTCACAATTTGTAGTTATTCAGTACTCCAAGAGCTCTGAGTCTGACTTGGAGTGAAGTCTAGTGCGGCGTGAATTGACTAGTGTGGGCTGGCTAGAGGCCAGAAGTGCAAGGGCCTATCCAGGAGCCCTGTTAGGACTCCCTTCTGCCCTTCTTCTATGCTAAGGATGCGATCTTAACAGCTGACTACTGTCCTGCTATGTGCCCCGTCTTGCCCACATTATTTCATGTAACACAATAATCCTGTGAAGGTAGCAATAGAGACAAGGAAACTGAGGCTCACAAAGGTTGTGACTTGTAGACAGTCACACAGCTGGGTAAGGTGGGAGCCAGGATTCAAATGTCAGCTTAGCTAGTCCAAAGCCTATGCTCTTTTTCCCTGCTTTTTACCACCTCCCAATTATACGGATTGATACCTTAAAGGGCTCCTTTAGATACATATACATTTCATATACATATATAAAAGAAGGCCTTGAAATAAACAGTGTAATGCTGAACTACATATTCTTCTTTTTTTTTTTAAGATTTTATTATTTTATTTCTTTGACAGAGAGAGAGAATGTGAAAGAGGGAACACCAGCAGGGGGAGTGGAAGAGGGAGAAGCAGGCTCCTCACGGAGCAGGGAGCCCGATGTGGGGCTCGATCCCAGGACCCTGGGATCATGACCTGAGCCGAAGGCAGACGCTTCACGACTGAGCCACCCAGGCGCCTCTGAACTGCATATTCTATTTTTATCTATTTGTCCTTGGGTTTTTAAAACTTACTCACCAGAAACATGTAAAGTCCAAAATGTAAAACATAAAAGCAAGGAAGCTCTGGTTGAGCTGGGTAAGTACCAGGAGCCCTGACTCTTCATCCTCCCCTTTTCTCCCCACCCCACTGTGGATTTTCTAGATCTCCTTGTGCACAATGGGAAAATCATCTGCATCAGATGCTGAACTCCCTAAAAACAAAATTAAAGATGGCTTTTCATCTTTTTATCTAGGTGTGAATCATAGTTCTTGGGTGAACAGGTTCCCAACAAATATTTTTGAATGAAGAATGAATGCTGTTGGGTGCCCGGGTGGCTCAGTTGGTTGGGCGGCTGCCTTCGGCTCGGGTCATGGTCCTGGAGTCCCGGGATCGAGTCCCACATCGGGCTCCCTGCTCGGCGAGGGGCCTGCTTCTCCCTCTAACCCTCCCTGCTCTCATGTACTCTCTCTCTCTCTCTCTCATTCTCACTCTCTCAAAATAAATAAATAAATCTTAAAAAAAAAATGAATGCTGTTAATAATCATAATAAACCATAATTATCAGGGTAGGACCTTGTGGCTTCCCTTGCTGTGGGAGCCCAAGATTCACAGAGATGACTATTGGGAGTTTTCCTAAAGCCGAGTTCACAATCTTTCTGGTTATCCCCTGTACTTCTTGATCAGGTTTTTCATTAAAATATGTGGTTGTTAATAAGGTTATTAAAATTAAACAAAAACTGACCAGGGGCGCCTGGGTGGCTCAGTCGGTTCAGTGTTTGCCTTTGGCTCAGGTCATGATCCCAGAGTCCTGGGATCGAGTCCCGCATCGGGCTCCCTGCTCAGCTGGGAGTCTACTTGTCCCTCTGCCTGCCGCTCCCCCTGCTTGTGCCCAATCTCTCTCTCTCTCTGACAAAAAAAAAAAAAAAAAAAATCTTAAAAAAAAAAACTGGGGCACCTGGTTGGCTCAGTCGTTAAGCGTCTGCTTTCGGCTCAGGTCATGATCCTGGAGTCCCAGGATCAAGTCCCTCATTGGGCTCCCTGCTCAGCAGGGAGTCTGCTTCTCCCTCTGACCCTCCTCCATCTCATGCTCTCTCTCTATCATTCTCTCTCTCTCAAATAAATGAAAATCTTTAAAAATAAATAAATAAGTAAATAAAATCTTAACCAAAAAAAACCTGACCAAATGGAATCCAGATTCTAACTTATTCTTTCTTTCTTTATTTTTTTTTAAGATTTTATTTATTTATTTGACAGAGACACAGCAAGAGCAGGAACACAAGCAGGGGGAGTGGGAGAGGGAGAAGCAGGCTTCCCGCTGAGCAAGGAGCCTGATCCTGGGATCATGACCTGAGCCGAAGGCAGACGCTTAACCAACTGAGCCAACCAGGCGCCCCTAACTTATTCTTCTTTTAAAACCAATATTTAGTGAACACACTTCTTTCTCTCTCTTCATTTCTTTCCCCTCCCTTTTTCCTCCCTTTCTTCCTTTCCATTCTTTTCTCTTTCCTTTTTTTCCACATAGCCTCGTGTGTGGCAAACTATGCCCAGGCACTATGCTGCCGAGAATGGATCGATCAGCTCATTAGTCATCATAGAATTGCAGATCAAAACCACGATGAGATACCACCTCACAACTGGTAGGATGGCTATCCTCAAACAGCCAAAAGATAGAAAGTATTGGTGAGGATGTGGCGAAAAGGGAACCCTTATGCACTGTTGTTGGGGATGCAAATTAGTACAGCCACTGTGGAAAACAGTATGGAGGTTCCTTAAAAAACTAAAATAGAATGATCCAGCATTCCTATTTCTGGGCATATATCTGAAGGAAATAAAATCACTGTCTCGGATACCTGCCCTCCCTTATTCATAGCAGCATTATTTACAGTAACCTCAATGTCCAGCAGGATGTGAATGGATAAATAAAATGTGTGTGTGTTGGGGGGGTGTATATGTGTGCACACATGCATATACACACAATCTAATATTATTTAGCCTTTAAAAAAAGGAAAATCTGGGACACATGGGTGGCTCACTCGAGTGAGCATCCAGCTTTTGATTTAGGCTCAGGTCATGATCTCAAGGTCCTTGTCTGGAGCTCCAAGTTGGCTCTGGGCTCAGTGAGGAGTCTGTTTGAGGATTCTCTCTCTCTCCCTCTCTCTCTCGCCCCCCCCCCCCCCCCCCCCCCCCCCCCCCCGCTCGTGTTCTCTCTCTCTCTCTCTTTCAAGTAAAAAAGTAATAAATCTTAAAAAAAAGGAAAATCCTGGGATACCTGGCTGGCTCAGTCAGTAGAGCATCTGACTCTTGATTTCAGGGTCATGAGTTCAAGCCCCACGTTGGGTGTAGGGATTGCTGTAAAATAAAATCTAAAAAGCAGAAAATCCTGCATTTGGGAAAACATGGATGAACCTGGAGGATGTCATGCTAAGTGAAATAAATCAGATACAAAAAGATAAACACTACATAATCTCACTTATGTTGAATCCAAAAAAGGCAAACTCATAGTAACAGATAGTAAAATGGTCATTACCAGGGGCTAGGGGTTGGGGGGAAAAGGTAAATGTTGGTCAAAAGGTAGATGTTCATTATAAGATAAATAAGTTCTGGAGACCAAAATGTACAGCATGGTGACTATAGTTAACAAAAATGTAGCATGTACTTGAAACTTGCGAAGAAAATAGATCTTAAGTGTTCTTATCACTCACACACAATGATAACTATGGGGTTATCCTTGTGGTCATTATTTCACAGTGTATACATAGATCAAAACATCACGTTAAACACCTTACATATAATTTTTATTTGTCAATCATACCTCAGTAAAGCTGGGGAGGAAAAATGAACATTCTTTTTTGTCTTATCAAGCAATGCATCTTGTGTCACTTTAAGATATATATTACATACCTTTTTTGTTGTCAGAAGTGGCATGATGAAATGGAAATGAGAATTTGACACCTTTTGATTGTTCACACTCTTTTTTCAAAACAGTTGAAGAATGGGTCATACGAATATGTTGGTTGGTTTCTCTCTCTGGTGGACTCAGAAATTGTGGGTAATCATCAATCTGAAAAAAATATAATTAAACTAATTGAGGACAAATATAACTGTTTATCTACCCTATGATAATAAATCCCCTAAAGCTTAGGGCAAGTTTATTTTATTTTTAAGATTTTATTTATTTATTTGAGAGAGAATGAGAGAGAGCACAAGAAGGGAGAGGGTCAGAGGGAGAGGGAGAAGCAGACTCCCCACTGAGCATGAAGCCCAATGTGGGGCTCGATCCTGGGGGCTTGATCCCGGGACTCAGGGATCATGACCTGAGCCCAAGGCAGACGCTCAACCGACTGAGCCACCCAGGCACCCCTTAGGGCAAGTTTAAACTGCATTCTTTTTATTTTTTTCCTGGGAAGTCTTTCCTCTTGTCAGGTTTCTCAGTTTTCCTCAATTTGTTTTAGTCTTTACTAAAAATGCGTTTAGCAACAGATCCCAAGAAACTATTTATACTTACACTATAGAATTGCTAAATAAATAGTAATAGTGTTTTTGTTTGTTAAAATAGATCCCTCCCCCTTTCATTTTGAAAATAGATTTTTTTAAAAGGTCTTAAAAATGTTTAATTGATGGGTTTAAACTAGTATTTTTCTATGCAATAGAAAGTGTCCATTTGCGGGGAACAGTGTACAAAGATTCTGTGAATACAAACATCTAGGTTTGAATTATTGGAAGTTTCCTGCTCCTAAATAACTTTCTCTTCTCTCCAAAGTGCTCTGTTTTCTATTCTTTTTTTTTTTTAATGTCCATCCTTATATATTTTTGTATGCCAACTAGTAGAATCCTAAAAAATTAGCATTTACAAAATACTCGGTAAAAATAGCTTTTAAAAGTTGCCCCGAGGGTGCCTGGGTGGCTCAGTTGGTTAAGCGACTGCCTTCGGCTCAGGTCATGATCCTGGAGTCCCGGGATCGAGTCCCACATCCGGCTCCCTGCTCAGCGGGTAGTCTGCTTCTCCCTCTGACCCTCTTTCCTCTCGTGCTCTCTGTCTCTCATTCTCTCTCTAATAAATAAATAAAATCTTAAAAAAAAGTTGCCCCGAGATGTACATAAAATCAACTCCAATTTTTCACAATTCATTCTCCCTTGTTATCTACAGATTCAGTTTTCTGTGCCTCTTCAGCTTTAGTTTCAACATTTTCAGATGGTGCAGTACCTTCCTTTCCAGCTTCTTGCTTTTCCTCCTTCTTCCCTTTAGCACCTTTGTTAATCTTTGTTCCCGGTTCTTTCTTAGCAGATGTTTTTCTTGGTTTAGGTTCAGGTTTGGGTGGAGCAGGTTTCGTGGACAATCTGGCAGACCGTCTGGTGGGCTCCTGTTTAGTTACTTTGGATCCATCCTTGCCCTCTGTATTCTCCGGAGACTTTCTCTTCGGCATAATGACTACGTTCGTGCAGCTAAAAAGTAAAGCAACGGGCTGGAACTGCAGACACCGCCGCTGGATGCCGCCGCTGCAGCTGCTCACGCGCAGGGCACAGCGTAGCCCGGCCTCTCCGACCTGCACCTCCGCGGCTCCTCTGTTTTCTATTCTTGATTAAAAACAGACAAAGTCTCGAGGCACCTGGGTGGCTCAGTCGTTAAGCCCTTGCCTTCTGCTCAGGTCGTGATCCCAGGGTCCTGGGATGGAGCCCCACATGGGGCTGCCTGCTCCGCGGGAAGCTTGCTTCTCCCTCACCCACTCCCCCTTGCTTGTGTTCCCTCGCTTGCTGTGTCTCTCTCTGTCAAATAAATAAAATCTTTAAAAAATATTAATAAATATATAAATAAAATCTTAAAAATAAAAATAATAAATAAATAAAATAAAAAGAGACAAAGTCTCAATAAATAGTTAGGATTTTTTTTTTTTAAGTAGGCTCCACACCCAGCATGGAGCGCAAGGCAGGGCTTGAACTCACAACCCCAGGATCAAGACCTGACCTGAAACCAAGAGTCAGACACTTAACTAAGCCACCCACAATACTTAGGATTTTTAGATCTTTAACAATCTACTTTCCTTTTTATGACAGGTAGGCAGTAATAGCATCTGACTGAAAAGCCAAAAGTAAAGCCAAAGAATCACCAGAGGCATCTTTAAAACCTTTAATCCAGGCATCAGAAAGAATACCTCTGTTGGCTTTTTGCAAAGTTACTTAGAATTTGGATAAAAATATTTACTGTGATCATACAGTTTCATCATTCTCTTTTCATAAATATATGAAATAATAATAATATATCAAATAATAATAATATTTTAAAAATTTAATTCAGGGGAATTAAAGATAAGATAAATTAATAAAAAGCTATCAGGATCTACTAAAATTTAATTTTTAAAATTATTTTCAAATACATAGACTAATTCAAACCACGCTAATGAAGCATAGCCCAGTGCAGGTCTTAAAAAGGGTGTGCTTTTGTTAATAATAAAAGCTTACAGTTAGTAAAGGATCCTCTTCTGAACAAGATTCTTCAGAAAAGCCTTAAGCTATTTGATACCTGCAAAGATATGCTTATAAAATTAGAATCCTATTATACATACGGCTAAGGTTTTTGTTTGTTTTGTGTAACTCTGTTTATATTTTTCTCTTGCCGTTGTCAGGAAAAATTATGAAAGACTTTGAAATAGGCAAAAAAGATGGTCTAGATGTTTTCCATCATTTATTGTCTTTGAGCTGTTTTAAAACACTGTAAGTTGGGGCGCCTGGGTGTCTCAGTTAGTTAAGCGACCAACTCCTGATTTCGGCTAGGGTCAAGATGTCAGGGTTGTGAGATGGAGCGCCATGGCGGGCTCTGTGCTCAGCCGTGGGTTTGCTTGAGAGCCTCTCCTTCTCCCTCTGCCTCTCCCCCCACTCGAGCGTGTGCTCTCTGTCTCTCTTGCTGTCTTAAATAAATAAATAAATAAATCTTTAAAACACTTTAGGTTGTGGGGATGCGTGGCTGGCTCAGTCAGTAAAGCATATGACTCTTAATCATGGGGTTGTAAATTTGAGCCCCATGTTGGGTGTAGAGATAACTTAAAAATACATAAAGAAAAGAAAACACTGTAAGTTGTAGAAAACTGGTAATAGTGAAATTTTTCTTTTTAAGATTTTATTTATTTGACACACAGAGAGAGAGATCACAAGTAGGCAGACAGGCAGGCAGAGGGAGAAGCAGGCTCCCCCCCCCACCGCCAGCAGGGGGCCCGATGCAGGGCTGGAACCCAGGGCCCTGGGATCATGACCTGAGCAGAAGGCAGACACTTAACTGAGTGAGCCACCCAGGTGCCCTGTATATAATTAAGTCTTTAAAAAAAAAAAGGTGCAGGGGCGCCTGGGTGGCTCAGTTGATTAAGCGACTGCCTTCGGCTCAGGTCATGATCCCAGGGTCCTGGGATCGAGCCCCACATCGGGCTCCCTGCTCAGCGGGAAGCCTGCTTCTCCCTCTCCCACTCCCCCTGCTTGTGTTCCCTCTCTCACGGTCTCTCTCTGTCAATTAAATAAATAAAATCTTTAAAAAAAAATAAAAATAAAAAAATAAAATAAAATAAAATAAAAAAAAAGGTGTTACAATCTCGGCACATTTTATATATATGTATACATAAATATAATATATAGTAATTATATATTGTATTTCAGTATTATTATGTTATATTAAAGACTTTATCCATATAAAAATTATGTTCATTTATTTTTACATATCAGATGTAACTTTTTTTTTAAAGATTTTATTATTTATTTGAGAGAGAGAGAGCATGAGCAGGAGGGGAGAGGCAGAGGCCGAAGGAGAACCAGAGGGAGAGGGAGAAGCAGACTCCCCACTGAGCAGGGAGCCCCAGGCAGGGCTCCATCCCAGGACCCTGGGATCATTACCTGAGCCCAAGGCAGACGCTAAACGACTAAGCCACCCAGGTGCCCCTCAGACATAACTTTTATTGCTGTCTTTAAAAATAGGTTTTGTCACTATCCTTAGAGACATTTTGTCTAATTTTTTGCAATGGCTTTATTACCTTTGTTTTGCATGCCATAGGAACAACCAAATTTTCTAGTCAGTTGCCTATTTTTAATATGAAACTTCATCAGACCTGTCACATTTGAAAGTTTTCAATAATAAACCAGCCACAGTCATCTGAAGTCTCTTCTACAGATAGTTTTTGTTTTATTGTGATGCTTGCTTGAAGGTTCTATTATAAGATAAAGTCAGTTTGAGTCCTCAACAAAGGACAGTCTCAGAGCAGAGCCTCCTGGAAAAAGCATTGAGACAGGCTCTTCAAACTATTAACACTTCAGAGCTGAGCTAACATTACTTAGACAACTCAGACCACACCAGTGGACTGAGTTAGGATTTCCAAGACTCCATTAGGTCAAGAAGCAGGTGGTTTCATGAGACTCCTAACCCAAAATGTCCCAGAACGAGACTTAACTTTATAGGACTAAATAAAACTGATAGAAATTTATTGTGGTTATTTGCTTAGAATATTATTGATGTTCTAATGTTCTATTTTCTAGATATGTGAGGAAGCTTTTTATCCTCCTTCTTAAATTATAACCAGTGTGTAACGCATAACAATTTAGATTCTGCTCTCAGAAACCAAAAATGTTTAAATATCCAATTTTCACTGGCTCCCCCAAAATTCAGAAACTCTTATTAGATTCAGTAAAGATCTGACTTCCTTTTACCAAGATGTAATTGTACACACTGGTTGTATATCCAAGGCTTTATGTGAAGTGTCTTATTTAAGAAGAATATTCATCTAGGGCGCCTGGGTGGCTCAGTTGATGAAGCGTCGGACTCTTGATTTCCGCTCAGGTCATGATCAGGGTCATGGGATTGAGCCCAGCATCAGGCTCTGTGCTCAGCAGGGAGTCTGCTTGGGACTGTTTTTCTTCCTCTGCTCCTCCCCACCGCCCATGCACACGCACACTCTCTCGCTCTAAAAATAAATAAATAAATCTTTAAAAGGGGGGGATATTCATTTAACCAGATATAGCAAACCATTTTAAGGGCCAAAGGTTTGGTGTATTTATGGGGCCAGTGCTTATTAGGAAGGTCACTTCTGG